ATGTCATTGGTAATTTGATTGGGATTGAATTGAATATGTATATTGCTTTGTAGTGTGGACATTTTCATAGCATTAATTCTACCAATCCACGAGCATGGTATGTCTTTCCATTTTTTTGTGTACTCTTTAACTTCTTTCATGAGTATTTTATAGTTTTTGTTGTAGCAATCTTTCACCTCCTTGGTTAGATTTATTCCCAGGTATTTTATTTTTTTGGTAGTTATTGTAAATGGGATTGATTTCTTGAATTATTTATCTGCTAGTTCATTGTTTTCATACAGAAATGCTGGTGTCTCTTGTATACTGATCTTATATCCTGAAACTTTACTAAATTTTAAAATCAGCTCTAAGAGTTTTTTGGTGTAATTTAGTTTTTTCTATATATAAGATCATGCCATCTGCCAACAGGGACAATTTGACTTCTTCTTTTCCAATTTGGATGCCCTTTATTTCTTTCTGTTGCCTGTGCATTCTGTCTAGAACTTCCAGTATGAAGTTAAATAAGAGTGGTGAGAGTGGTTATCCTTGTGTTTTTCTGTTTTTGGAGAAAAAGCTTTGAACCAGTTCCTGTTTTGGATGATGTTAGCTGTTGGTTTGTCATATATAGCTTTTATTGTGTTGAGATACTTACCTAATTTTTTGAGAGTTTTTATCATAAAGGAATATTGAATTTAATGAAATGCTTTTTCTACATCTATTGAGATGATCATATGGTTTTTATCTCTTATTTTGTTGATGTGATGTATCACATTTATTGATTTGCATATGTTGGACCATCCTTGCATCCCTGGGATTACTCCCACTTGATTAAGATGTGTAATCTTTTTGATGTGCTATTAGATTCTGTTTGCTATGATTTTTTTTGAGAATATTTGCATCTAAGTTTATCAAACATTGGCCTGTAGTTTTCTTTTTTTGTTGTGTCTTTGGTTTTGGTATCAGAGAGACGCTAGTCTCATAGAGTGAGTTTGTGAGAAGACCCTCTGCCTTGATTATCTGGAATAGTTTGAGAAGAATCTTCTTTAAAAGTTTGGTAGAATTCAGCACGTGAAACTATCTGGTCCTAAGCTTTTCTTTTTTGGGATACCGTTGATTATTGCCTTAATCTCATTGCTCATAATTGGTCTGTTCAGGTTTTCGATTTCTTCTTGGTTCAGTCTAGGTAGAATGTATGTGTCCAGACTATCTGGTCCTAAGCTTTTCTTTTTTGGGATACCGTTGATTATTGCCTTAATCTCATTGCTCATCATTGGTCTGTTCAGGTTTTCGATTTCTTCTTGGTTCAGTCTAGGTAGAATGTATGTGTCCAGAAATTTATCCATTTTCCCTAGATTTTAAAATTTGTTGGTACATAGGTGTTCATAATAGTCTCTAATGATTCTTTGTATTGTATTCTTTGTATTGTTGGAATGTCTCCTTTTTCATTTCTGATTTTTGATATTTGGGTCTTCTCTCTTTATTTCTTGGTTAGTCTAGCTAAGTTTTTCAATCACTCATATGATATCTTTGATGACTTTTGCCAAACTAATGAGTATAATGAAATTTACTGGTTGTTTCTAATTGCACTAGACTGAGTGGGAAAAAAAGGGATGAGGTCCAGTGTTCAAATTCCAAGCCCCAGCACTGCATAAATGATGTAAAAGTGTCTATGTCTGCTCTGAAAGAGATCTGTATCTCCTGTAGCTGAGATTTCTTATAACCAAACTCAGAATCTCATCCTGTAAGTGGATGTCTTACAGTGCATGTTGAATTCCCAACTTTGTGGGATGTCTATTGTTAAAGTGAGGACATGCATTGGAAAGGAATAGGATCTTGAATATTGTAATGGGGACATATGGGAAGATCCAGATGAAGCTGGAGACACAGAACCCCTAAATTCTGATGAGTCTTCTTTGCCAGTAAAACAGCCACTCCACACTTGTATGAAGAGACTAAGCTTTTCCCCCCCTCTAATGGCATACCCTGAGATAGTAGCCTTATAAGACACTGCTGATTCTCCACTGGACCCACTCCTACCTCCCCTCTCTACTTCTAAAATTATGAATAGACTCAAGTCTCAGCAGACCCCTAAAAAATGAAGTACAAAGTTAGACCTATGAAGAGATCCACTACACTCCAAAAAACTATATAATTTTTCTAATTTGTACAGACAGAAATCCAGGGAATATGTGTAGGAATATTAAAGGTGTGGGATGATGTTGGAAGAAACATAAAGTTGGATCAGGATGAATTTATTGACACGGGATCTCTAAGCATAGATTCTGGATTTAATGTTGCAGCACAGAGTGTTAGAAAGGACTCTGACAGTTTGCTTTGTTGGCTGAAACATGGACCAATAAGTGGTCTATGGTAAATGTAGTTGAAATGCCAGAGCTGCCTTGATATAGTGTAAAGGAAGGGATTTGAAGGCCCCGAGAGATTGGAATGTTAGATTAAAATTTTCATTTAAGACTTGCTCAGTCACTCCAGGAAGGTCCAGAGGACACCATGACTGAAACAAATTTGTGAGGAGCCCCAGCATCCTTGAAGAGCTCAGTGATTGCTCTTCTCTGTAGGTCAGAAATTACAGTGGGATCTGCTTCCACTGAATTGGGAAGACTAAATGCCATAGGGATAATTGGGTCCCTGGGTGACAAGACCCAAGTGGTGGTGCTTTATCACTAAAGGCAAAGTAAGCATGTCATGGAGTCAAACAGTGACCAGAATAGTCTGACTCACAGAGACTCTGACTAGTTGATTACAGTATTACTAGAAGTGAAATAGATGGGAAGTCTACTGATTCTTACTTCATCTGTATACATGGATGTGTTCTAGGTCAAGCAAACAAAAGTCTAACTTGAATCATAAAAACAAAGAGTCAGTCCCAGACTTGAGCCAATTTATAGACATAAAATCCCTTGAATAAGGAGAAGCTGGGTCCTCATAAGAAAAGACCCTGCCAAAAATATATACTGGTAATATTTTCTCTAGTCTTCCCAAAAGGGAAGTACAGCTTTTTGCCTGCGTGGCCGTGCAATAGGAAAAAAAGAGATAATCATATTTTTTGGCACTATTGGACACTGGCTCTAAAATGACACTAATTTCAGGAGACCTAAAACATCACTGTGGTCCACCTATCAGAATAGGTGCTTTACAAGGTAGGCAATCAGTAGAGTTTTAGCCTAGGTCCATATCACAGCTGTTCCAGTGTGTCCCCAAATACATCCTGTGGTTATTTCTCCAGTTCTGAAACACATAATTAGACTTTGAATATGGATTGCCAAACAGTGCTTTTGCCAGAATTACTATCTGTGGACTTACAAAATGCCTTGTCTACTCTCATGGTTTTCCACACAGCATTGCTTCTGAGCAAGAAAGTCACTTTATATTAAATGAAATGTGTGAGTGGGCTCATAGAACTAACTGATCTCACTGTGTTTCCCACCATCCTGAAGCAACTGGCTTTCAGAAACAGGAATCTGAACAGGATCCGTTGAAGACTTAGTTACAGATCAACAGGATCTGTTGAAGACTTAGTTACAACACAGCTTGGTGGAATACCTTTCAGGGCTGGGCAAGGTTCTCAAAGAGACTGTATGTGCTCTGTATCACCATTCAACATATGCTGCTATTTCTCCTATAGGCAGGATTTACAGGAATCAGTGGGTGGAAATGAGAGTGACACCACTCTCTATTATCCCTCTGTGACCTATTCCTTGACTTTATGTTCCGTTGGTGAAGAGGACATATTACCAAAGGGAGGAATGCTTCAACAAGGAGATGCATCAATGATTCCATTAAACTGGACATTAAGACTGTCACCTGGATACTTTGGGCTTCTCTTGCCTCTGAATCAATAGGCAAATAAGGGTGTTTCTGTGCTGCATGGGGTGATTGATCCTAATTACCAAGGGAAAATTAGACAGCTGCTCCAAGGAAGAGTATGTCTGAAATACAGGAGATCTGTGAGAGTGTTTCTTTGTACTACCATGCCCTGTGATTAAAGTCAATGGAAAACTACAACAACCCAGTTCAAGCAGAACTACTAAAGACTCAGACTCTTCAGGAGTAAAGGTCGCCCCGCCAGTTAAAAAATCACAACAAATTGTGGTACTTTCTGTGGACAAAGGGAATATGAAATGGGTAGTGGAAGAAGAGAGTTATAATTACCAGCTTTGATCACATGACCACTTACAGAAATAAGAACTGTTTTTATTAGGTGTATTATCCCCTGATTTTGTAATGAATGTGTGTGTGTGTGTAAAAGAAATATTTTTGTTTTCTTCTATCCCCTTACCATATAAAATAAGGTGTTTTAACTTTACATCATAATATTTGAGTATTGCTAACTTTACATCATAGTATTTAAATTATAGAACGTCCAGAAGTTTGAAGATCAGCCCCACAGTCGCAGAAGCCAAGTCCTTAAAATAAATCTCCTATTCATATGTTGATTTAAAGGAAGTGTAAACTTTTAATGTTAGATTAAGTGAACAATATCAGTCTGTATCACTGTCTACTTTTCGAAGTTTTTTTTTTGAGCTTGTCATAGCTTCTACAATTGTCCTTTTACTCATTTTGTTTTAACAGCTTTATTGAGATGTAATTGACATACAAATAAACTGCACATATTTCATGCATACAATTTGATGAGTTTGGACATATGCATACACCTATGAAACTATAACAATAAGAAAGGTAATAGACAAATTTATTACCTTCAAAAGTTTCCTCATTCTCCTGTAAGTTTTTGTTTATTTAGTTTGGCTTGATTTTTGTAGTGAGAATGTGTAACATGAGATCTATCATCTTTGTAAATTCTTTTTCTTTTCTTTTTTTTTTTTTTTAAGATTTCGGAGAACTTTAAAAGAATCAAAGTAAACTGTAGCAACTAAGTGTATTAGGTACAGAGAATTGATGAAAGTCCAAATTGTGGAAAATAAAGGTAAATGTGGCATTTTCATGTAAGAATTTCACTATTGTCACATGCTCAGGTACCCCTTTCAAGTCTCTCTAAGCCTTCAAAGAGCTTCAGATGTCCCTTTGGTACCGATGGCCCTTTTCAGGGCGTCTCTGACATCCTTGTTCCTGAGGGTGTAAATCAAAGGGTTGAGTAAGGGGGTGACAAAGGTGTAGACCAAGGCTATTTGGTGGTCCTCATCCACCGAGGAGCTGGCCTGGGGACGCAGGTACACCAAGGCGCAGCAGCCGTACTGCAGCAGGACCATGGTGAGGTGGGAGGAGCAGGTGGAGAAGGCGCGGCGGCGGCCCTGGGCAGAGCGCATGTGCAGGATGGCGGCGGTGATGAACACGTACAAGATGGAAATAAGGGTGAAAGGGATGGTCAGCACGAGGACACTTACGACATAGAGGACAGCCTGCGGCACGTGGATGTCAGCACAGNGGCTTTGAAAAACCAGGCCCTGTGAGGTGCATTTGCTTTAAGAATCCTCTACACTCCCTGGAATGTCAGAATATAAGAAAATGAAGGCACCCAGCTGGGATGTATGGAGTTAAGGAAATTGATGCATTAAATAGGCTATCGTTCTCCACACATTGACTTATATAAAACAATATAAAATATATTTCTTCAGGTACAGTATATGTCTTTATAAATACTCCTTACATAAGGCACCTTTCACAGAATAAATTAATATCATTGCCTCCTCAGGAGGCAGCATGTCTAAAGGTATTAACCTTTTTTCGCAGTGTGTATGGGGCGTTCCTGACAGAGCAGTTGCCACTGGCAAGCTGACAATCTTCAGAGTAGGGCTAAGGAGACCAGAGCTCCTACATTGGACGTTTTGTCCAAATTTTCAAATCTTATTTGAAGTACCTCAGGAAAATGAGTGCAGATTGTGGACATGGGGCAAATATGGCAAAAATGAAATATCAGGTGCAAAGCATGGGAAAGTAAATATTACAATTCTATGTTTGTCGTTTAGAGTTTATTGACATAACAACTGACAGACACCCACCCCAGTTCCCCCAAGCCTTCTGCTCTACCGACGATGGACGATGGCATTCCTCAAAGCACCTTTGACATCCTTGTTCCTAAGGGTGTAAATCAAAGGGTTGAGTAAGGGGGTGACAAAGGTGTAGACCAAGGCGATTTGGTGGTCCTCATCCACCGAGGAGCTGGCCTGGGGACGCAGGTACACCAAGGCGCAGCAGCCGTACTGCAGCAGGACCATGGTGAGGTGGGAGGAGCAGGTGGAGAAGGCGCGGCGGCGGCCCTGGGCAGAGCGCATGCGCAGGATGGCGGCGGTGATGAACACATACGAGATGGAAATAAGGGTGAAAGGGACGGTCAGCACGAGGACACTTACGACATAGAGGACAGCCTGCGGCACGTGGATGTCAGCACAGGCCAGGCTCAGGACTGGAGGCACATCACAGAGGAAGTGGTTGATTTCCCGGCAGTGCCCGCAGAAGGGCAGGGTGAAGATTAACGACGTGAGCTGCAGGGACAGGAACAGGGCCAGGCCCAGGGCGCCCGCCACCATCTGCATGCACAGCCTCTGGGTCATGATGAGGGTGTAGTGCAAGGGGTGGCAGATGGCCACATATCGGTCGTATGCCATGACTGCCAGGAGGAAACAGTCAGCACCACCAAGGGTGACGAAAAAGAACATTTGGGCCCTGCAGCCAGCCAGCGGAATGGGCTTTTGGGGTCCCCAAATGTTGGAAAGCATCAAGGGCACCACAGTGGTACTGTAGCAGATCTCTACAAAGGACAGGTTGGACAGGAAGAAGTACATGGGTGTGCGGAGGGAGCTGTGCGTGCACACCAGCCAGATGATGGCTGTGTTGCCCCAAATGCTCATCAGGTAGAGGAGGAGGAAGAGCAGGAAGAGAAGGGCCCGGAATCCAGGGACGGTGGTGAACACGCGGAACACGAACTCGGTGGGGCCCGACTGGTTGAGGACAGGGTTCCACGCAGGCATGTCTGCTGCAAAGGAAGGAAAGGAAGCACTGAGTCCTCGTCGGCTGAGTTGCTCTATGCCTGAGTAGGATGAAGGATTGTGAATTCACGATAGAGCATCTGGTATATTATCCCTTGGAAATCTTTATGAATGAGACAGATACTCATCTGTAGAAGTTCTTGGTGACAAGACACGTAGATGTTTCTGGTGAAATGTCTTTTTTTTTTTTTTCGTAACTCTCATATTTTTAATCCAATTGTCAAGAGATAATACTTTGCTTCTTTTATGC